TCTGATTCTGATCTGTGGCTAACGAGTGAAGGTTCAGCTCTCTGTCAATCGATTTTTGAACTGTCTCAAAGTGTATTTTGTTGATCTAAGGGACAAAACTAAACTGAAATGCTCTCAGTATATGCACAGATAATAAAGTATATTGGAATTAGCCATAAAGCCAAATATTTATTTAATTCTCTTCAGACTGACTCACTGACAGGATTTTAAAGTAAACTTCTGTGTTCAGCCTTTAGCTCCACATAAAGATTTACAGTAAGTTCTGCTCTCCAGATGCTGAAGGCTGTTGTTTACTGAAATATACTTTCCTTTTTATTTGGTATTACTTTGTTGCCTACTTGTATTCTCCATATTCAACATAATTCTGCTCTGCTCCACTTCTTGTTCTAGCATTAGTCAATATTCTAGAGCTAAAGGTAGTTTTCTAAGTGCTGTTAATCCCCAAAGAAGCTCGTTTGTGCTCCTGTTTTGTGTTTAGCTAAATGATTGCTGATTAACAATAAAGCTGCCGTCTGTTTATGTGGAAGAACATCAGTGGTAAAACCTTTTTAAACTCAATCATTAATTGTTCAGGCACTTTTTTAATGATTTTCTAGTCTGAGCATGTTTCAGTCAGTTCATTTTATTCAGGTAGAAGCATCTAACTTTTATAATTGTCACAATTGTGTCTCTTCATTTCCAGCGTGTGGAGGGAAATTCTCCTGAACAAAAATAAACCTGGAAAAAAAAAACACATTCTCTATAGGTCATAACACTCTTCTCCCAGCTTTAAACACAAATTATCCAGAGTTCCCAAAGTTAAACAGCCACTGTTAACTTCACTTTTGCGAGAAAGTGAAGTTAATTTCAGCTAAATGTATTTAAATGTCAAGAATATCCAGTGAAGTTATTACTGTTTGAAGTCCCAAAGGCCGTTGTTGAACCATTTACAAGTTTTCATTGTTGATGTAGCTCTTTTCTTTCTTTTTCCAGGATATCTCCAAAGTTCAGAGAATCGTGTCGGGCAGTAAATCTCCCGCTAACGTCGGCGTAATGAGGAGAGAGAGTGGCGCAGTTAAGGAGTGCCAGATGGAAAAGGTGAGCCTTCGGAGTAATTAAAGTCTAACGGCCTGTGTGACCTGAGGGTTCATATTCATGAGATTCATCTGTTCACTAAATTTTCCGTCAATTCCCTGATCAGGAGTCTCATGAGTCCGTCTCAGACCTGGTTTAAGAATTATTAACAGTAATTACAGGAATTTAGTGCTGGCTTTCTGTTAACCAGCATTTATTAACATTATATATCTCATAATGTTAAAGGGTTAAAGGGCGAGAAGAAAAATAAATAAATAAAATAAATAAATAAATAAATAAATAATAATAAATAAAATAAATAAAATAAATAAAATAAATAAAATGAAATAAATAGAATAGATAGAATAAATAGAATAAATAGAATAAATAGAATAAATAAATAAATAAATAAATAAATAAATAAATATATATGAAATAAACAGAAATATATCCCAGATAAAGACACAAATATTTAGAGATGATAAAAGGCCTTTATGTTCATTATTTCTGCAGAGGCTGAGGCTCAAACCTGTTGTTACCGGGAATTAAGATCCTTTTTTATAAAACACGGTTTTCGTTGACAGAATGATTCATGAGTTAGTCCGTCAGCAGAACATTTATTGGCAATATTGATCCGCTCCTTTTCTTTTTATAAAAAAAAATGCATATGTTTTGGTGTTTGTTTTCTTTCGGCAACATAATCAATTAGAGGACACTACAGAAAATGTCAAATATTTAATCAAGATAACTAACTTATGTGGTAGATAGATAGATAGATAGATAGATAGATAGATAGATAGATAGATAGATAGATAGATAGATAGATAGATAGATAGATAGATAGATAGATAGATAGATAGAAAAAAAAAAATAGCCCAAACTTTTTCCTTTTTTTTAAGAAATATGAGTGTAGACAATCACTCCTTTAACACTTGAAATTTCCAATTTTGCCAAAGGGTAACTATTAAATTGACCGGTGTCATAGTTCAGTCTAATGTTGATAATAAGAAATATAGCCCCCTTAAAAAGGAACCATTTTGTGTATTTTAATGGAGACCGTATATTAGATATGCTGACATATTCCAGGAATGCAGCATATTTCAAAGGCCAAAATGGAGACATTATATCGACAGAGACATAAATCAGACTCATAAATCTTTTCAGGATGGATTTTATCGACGGTTGTTCAATG